AGGTTAACAGAATAACAAGCAAAAGGTGGGTGTGGCTGGATAACCACACTTCTGGTAACATGGGGGTGCGGCCTAATGTGCTAATGAGCTGTGCTGGCAGGGGTGTGGCCTAATATGCTAATGAGTTTCTGGTGTTGGGTGTGGCCTATTATGCTAATGAGTTCCTGCTGGGCTTTTTCTACAAAAAGAGCCCTGGAAAATCTCTAGGCACAGACCAGACCCTTCCATCCTGGGGAAAGGGGAAGATCCATGCTGCAAGTAGCCACAGGCCACAAAGCAGCTGTGTTGGAATTACTGAATGTCCTCAGCGTAATGGTCAACAAAGAATTATGAGAGTGATATTAAAGTGGATGCAGCATTTTAACAAAAGGGGTAGAAAATTAGATCATCAGTCCCCTGTATTCCTTCCTTAAAAATCACTGGATCAGAAATACCCTTAAGCTAATAAAGGAGGTAATCTAGAGGAGAGAATCAGTTGCTCTTCCCCCAATTACCACAAAAGAAACTACGTAGAAACCCCTCAGGAGTTCCATGTGCCGAGAGTAGATTATTACTCACATCAAAGGATTCTGAATATTTTCCAACATATGCCTGAAGAGCAGGAGTTGGTAACACTTATTTTCCAGTTACTTTAATAGCAGTAATGAATTTCACCCAAAAGAGAACTTAGTTGGTGAGGTTGCATGAGAACCAAGAGTCACTTCTCAGCCAAATGGCATCCATATAATTCAGCAGAGATTTATACAAATGGGAAAACTCTCTTGGTTTACCATGAAGAGAGCTTAAGAAAAACGAACACCCAAACATGTCAGGCTTCCACCAAGAGAGATTCATTTTCCTGGCCCCTCCGGCACTGCAGGTACAAGATATGAAAACAGACGTGTGTAATGACATTTGCCTCATGATGAAACAGGCCGTAGGGAAGGCTAGCTTCACTCGGCTGTTTTACATTATATAAGCTGAAGTAAAGGTAATGCAATCAGATCTGTGAGATTATTGCTACGGTATTGATTGTTGTAGGGCACAATGTTACAGAGGTGCATTAGAAAACATGGGGCTAAATTTAATTTGTTGGTGCCATTGCCTTTGTTCCCTTTTGTCTATCTATTTCTGATTAAGTAAAAAATTGAAGCCTTTCCCTTCATGAATTGCTCAAGAGAAACTACTTTAACTCCTCTAGAAATGGAAATTAAGCGTCAGTTTTCAGTATATCAAGAAAGGACTTGGAATGTCATGAGGAATCTTGCACTAGAGCCAACAAACTTGTTTCCCAGAAAGAATTAGGCAATGATAAAATGTGACTTCTGTGGAAGCCCCAGTGTTTGGTACATGAGGATACACATGGCAAAGAACAGTAAAGTCAAGCTAAACCTTAAGATGAGCTTGCTTTCGATAACAGTAATCCACCAAAGAGATAAGCTGTATTGTGAAACCGAGGAAGGCCAACCAGGGTTTTGAGAAAACCTGAGACTTCGGTATAGCAATACATCTTCTCCAAGTTGGGGTTACAGTACTTATGGCAGACCTGGACATGATTTGAGGACTTTGTAATGTGTCAGTTGGCCTTCCAGTACATGACTCACTCATGGGCAGTTTACACTATCATGTTTCTCCCCACAATCTATCTGTTAATGGACGACTATCCATCCTCTGCCCTTGACATCCTGGCCAAGGCTTTGGATGCTGTGGCTGGATGGTTATGGCAGAGCTGGTTGAAGTTAAATCCATCAAAGACAGAGGCTCTGTACCTGGGTTGGGGGGGGGGAATAGATGCAGGTATCACAGTGCAGTTCATATCCAGTTCACATCCTATCAGTATTGCAAAACCTGATACGACTTTCAGAGGAGAGTCATTGTGTGAGAAAGAGTCCTTAATCTTTCCCTTGCCTGCTTCCAAGTGTGGATTAGTTTGAGTTGTCTGGACATATCTGGGAGGCATTTACTAGGAAAAGAGGAATGCAGGTGGGGAAATTTAGCATTTCTCCTGCATTACAACAATTCTCATCTGCAAAAAAAAAAAAAAAGCAAAAAAAAAAAAAGCCCCACCTGGAGTTGCTTCGCAAAAGAAAAAGTAGTTTCTGAGGTTCAAAGACAACCGGTGGAAATGAAATGGGTACCATTTTGCTTGACATTTCAATTTCAGCACCTTGGCCAGAACATAGTATTGAGCACCTCCAGACTGTGGGCCATTGTTTTGTTTTCCACATTTGTTGACACAATCTTGTTAAGATTTTGATGGATTCCATTTCTGTGGCTTGGAATAGTTCTCTTAATATCCCATCTACCCCTAATGATTTGTTTCTCCCAATAGTTGTCAGTGCAGATTTCACTACACTTTCTAAAACTACACTTTCTTCAAAAGATTCTTCTTGGAAGGAATTTGTCATCCTTTGATCTATTTTGTATAGTCCTTCAGTGTATTGTTCCCATCTATTCTTTTCTCCCCCCCCCGTTCAGTTAATGTATTTTTGTGTTGATCTTTCAGCATGCCTAAGCATGCTTTACATTTCCCTTTGATCTCTTGAATCTTTTGTTCATTTTTTTAAAATTTTCTTCTCTATCTTTACACGGGTTATTGTAATAGTTCTCTTTCTCTTTACATGTGAGTTGCTGCAATTCTGCATTTAGGCTTTTGATTCTGTCTCAGTCAAATTTTACTCTTGCTTCTCATCTATCTTTTAGCAATTTTAAGAATTTCATCAGTCATCCATCAAGGATTTTCATTTCTTTGGCTACAGGAATAGTCTTTGTGCATTCTTCCTTTATAGTATCTTTGGTTTCAACCCATAGCTCTTCTGGTTCATGCTCACTTGAACTTAACAATGCAAATCTATTCTTAACATGGTCTTTAAATTCCTCAGGAATATTGCTTAGATCAGTGGTGTCAAACATGTGGCCCAGGGGCTTCTATCAGGCCCGCAGTGGAACTGGCTGTCTTCTGCTTCTTCTTCCAGTTCTGCTGCTGTTGTGTCATTGTAGGGTTTTGTTTTCCACATTTGTTGACACAATCTTGTTAAGATTTTGATGGATTCCATTTCTGTGGCTTGGAATAGTTCTCTTAATATCCCATCTACCCCTAATGATTTGTTTCTCCCAATAGTTGTCAGTGCAGATTTCACTACACTTTCTAAAACTACACTTTCTTCAAAAGATTCTTCTTGGAAGGAATTTGTCATCCTTTGATCTATTTTGTATAGTCCTTCAGTGTATTGTTCCCATCTATTCTTTTCTCCCCCCCCCGTTCAGTTAATGTATTTTTGTGTTGATCTTTCAGCATGCCTAAGCATGCTTTACATTTCCCTTTGATCTCTTGAATCTTTTGTTCATTTTTTTAAAATTTTCTTCTCTATCTTTACACGGGTTATTGTAATAGTTCTCTTTCTCTTTACATGTGAGTTGCTGCAATTCTGCATTTAGGCTTTTGATTCTGTCTCAGTCAAATTTTACTCTTGCTTCTCATCTATCTTTTAGCAATTTTAAGAATTTCATCAGTCATCCATCAAGGATTTTCATTTCTTTGGCTACAGGAATAGTCTTTGTGCATTCTTCCTTTATAGTATCTTTGGTTTCAACCCATAGCTCTTCTGGTTCATGCTCACTTGAACTTAACAATGCAAATCTATTCTTAACATGGTCTTTAAATTCCTCAGGAATATTGCTTAGATCAGTGGTGTCAAACATGTGGCCCAGGGGCTTCTATCAGGCCCGCAGTGGAACTGGCTGTCTTCTGCTTCTTCTTCCAGTTCTGCTGCTGTTGTGTCATTGTAGGTTTGCAGCTTACAGATACACACCTGAACAGCATACTCAAGATTGCAACAGCACAGACACTTTGATGCAGTAATTCAGAGCAAGAGGTGTCAGTTATCAGACACTGTTAGATAAACAAAATACTGCAAGAGTGCTAATGTTAAGCATGATTTTATTTTAAGTAAAAAAACCCTACCTTTGTGTTTGTGTCCTTCATAAAGTTTATATCTCCACTACCTGGCATTACATTTTATGACACACATGGCTCAGCCCAACAAGGTCTCATTTATGTCAGATCTGGCCCTCATAACAAATGAGTTCAGCACCCCTGGCTTAGATGGTATTTTGGCACTATGAATGCTTTGGTGTTTTTTCTGTTACGTGTGACCGCAGCCTCTGTTTCCTTCCTCTGTTTTTCAGTCATGTATGATTATCAGCACATCTTGTTTAGGTGTGTGATCAATTTCTTCCTGGATGCTTGCATAAAAGCTCTCAGTTTCTTTCTCATCAGCATCAGTAGTTGGGACATAAAGTTGAACAATGGTTTATACGGGAGTGGGGAGGGGAAAGTATAGTGGTGGGACCAGGCACAGAGACAAGGGAAGGGGGTGGAGAAGTAGAGTAGCTTGGCTCTCTTCCAGCCTCCGTCCCATCCTAAAGGTTGCATGCAGTGGGGCTAGGATGAATGACTCCCTCCAACATTGGTGTTGTGTAATGCCAGGTCTATAAATAATAAGACCACTGTCTTTTGGGACTACCTGCTCGAGCAGAATGTAGACCTGGCATGCATAACCGAGACCTGGGTGTGATTTGGTGAGACAGTAGCTCTCTCCAAACTGTTTCCTCCCAGGTTCTCAGTCCTCCACCAATCATGGACTAGGGAGCGGGGGGAGGAGTGGCTCTATTCATATGGGAGGCTTACTCCTTCAGGGCACTCCTGCTACCAAGGATCATGGGCATTGAGTGTGTTGGCCTGGTGTGGGAGGCCGGGGAGAGTTTGGTGATTTGGCTGGTGTACTGACCACCCAATGCCCTGGCCAATAATCTGCCATCCCGGTGGTGGCTGTATCAGGCTGGGCATTGGAACACCCTAGACTGATAGTCCTGGGTGATTTCAATGTCCATGCAGACAATGTGGCCTCTACTCAGGCTGTGGACCTGGTGTCATCCGTGGCGGCGCTGGGACTCTCCCAATATGTAACGACCTCCACTCACCAAGCCAGGCACATGCTTGATCTGATCTTTGCAACTGGGGTCACAGTGGATCAGATCACTGCTTTGGCAGTGCCATGGTCAGACCACCTTGCCTTGAGGGCCCAACTGAATGTGACACCCCAACCTAAATAAACAAATAAATAAAAATAAAATAAATATATTGATAGGCTTTCCATGAATTCTGATTATTATTTGGTCAGACTTTGCATTATAGCCCCTGACTGCCTGGGCTACATATTGCCTCACTATTAGCACAACTCCATTTCTTCTGTGTTTGTCATTCCCCAAGTAAAACATGTTGTAATTTTCTGATTGAAAATGTCCTAATTCTGTCCACTTTAGTTTGCTCACTCCCAGGATTGCAATGTTTAAATGTAATGGGGAACAGAGAAAATTTCAAGCAACAAATACAGCATGATAGCTGAAGGGTCTAAGGATGCTGTACTGCTTGCCAAGTACATGACTGAGAGCTTTCAAAAGAAAACTTGTGGCTATAGTATTAGAATTCAGGGGCTTAGGAGAAATTGCTGGTTGATATACATTCCCCTCATAAATCATACAGAAGATATCAGAGTCTGTGGAATGTCTTTTGCTTAAGAAAATTTGGAAAAATGTAAATGAATAATATGTGCAACCCAGTGCTAATCTGAATTGTCCATCTGTGCACGCATTTGAAAGTTGAATGATTTGGTCCCCCCCCATGTTATGAAAGTAGGTCACCTACACTGCCCAGCAAGTGTGTGTGTGTGGGGAGATGGATAGACAAGCATGTTTCTGCCCACTTTTTTAAACAATATATTTATTGTGTTTTAATAGTATAAGCCTATAACATACATATAAACAAGAACATCAACAAGACTACATACAAAAACCTAAGACAGTGATTTTCTTTTCAGCAACACAGGTTAACAGACAGACCAAACAAAAAACAAATATTTTGTTCTTATCCTCAGCCTTAAGGTGAATTCTGTGTTGAGTAGATACTTCTGTTTCTATTTCCTTTAAGATTTATATACTACATTTTCTAAAACTTTAATGATCAATGGATAATGGGAGTGATACTGTTGCTTCCAGCATCTTTTTTCTCAGGGCTATTTTTGTGCCGGAACGCACTGGAACGGTGTTCCGGCTACCTTCCGAGGCCCCCTCCCTCCTGCAGAGGCCTCCACCCACCTTTTCCCACCCACCTGCCAACAAGGATGTCCAAGAAAGGCCTGCACAGCCCCCCCACCTTTCCCCACCTGCCCGCCGACAAGATTTGTCTCGGGCAAGGCACAGAAGGAGCCGGGGGGGGGAGCAGCTCGACTCTGGGTGATGTGAGGGGAAAGCCAGGACCCTCATTGCTGCTGCCAATCAGCTTGCTGGAACAGGAAAGAGCACTGAGTTGCTCCCAATTTGCGCAGCAGAGAAGGAAGCGGGGGTGGGGCTTGAAAGTGTCCTGTTGAAAGGTGCGGCGGCAAAGGAGGAAGTCAAAGAAAGGTGAGCCCTTGCGCAGACACCTGGGATCCCCTGTGCTTGTTCCTCCCAATTTGCAGAGCAGAGAAGGAAGTGGGGGGGGGGCTTGGAAGTGCCCTGTCGAAAGTCACGGCAGCAGAGGAGGAGGTCAAAGAAAGGTGAGCCCCTGTGCAGACACCTGGGATCCCCTGTGCTTGTTCCTCCCAATTAGCAGAGCAGAGGAGGAACCCTGGGCTTCGTTGGTGGTCTCCCATCCAAGTACTAACCAGGGCTGACCCTGCTTAGCTTCAGAGGGTCTGAGAAGATCGGGCTACAAGGGTCATCCAGGCCAGGGCAACAACAGAATGCTGGCACTTTAAGTACCACTTAGTTGGTATGATCACTGATGTCTTCAACGGGTCCTTTAAAAAGAATTTTGTCAAAGAGGTTCCGGAACTCTGTTCTGGCATGTTCCCCCAGAAAAAAAAGCCCTGGGAATTGTCTTGCTCACAGCAACAAGCAAAGCTTAGCTTACATTCACTTGAAGAAGGCGACTTGGTTATTTATTTAATATGATTTAATGTTATTATATGTGTCATGTGTGTAACTCTGTTTTAGGAACACCTCCCTTTTAAGGGGTCAGGTTATTTATAATTTAATAAAGAAGGGAGGATGTCTTTTCCAGATAGTAGATCTGCTAGCCCTGTGAAACACGGAGCATGCAGAATGTGTACCACTTGCTGGAGTGTGTCAAGTGACTGAAAGAGAAGCTTGCATGAGATTGTGGCTTTTCTTGCATTATTAAAAGTTTTTGCTGAGCATATAAAAAAAGCTGCGATCTTGCACAAATGTGGCTGGATGACCACACTTCTGGTAGCTTGGGTGTGTGGCCTAATATGCTAATGAGCTGTGCTACCAGGGGTGTGGCCTAATATGCTAATGAGTTTCTGCTGTTGGGTGTGGCCTATTATGCTAATGAGTTTCTGCTGTTGGGTGTGGCCTATTATGTAATGAGTTCCTGCTGGGCTTTTTCTACCAAAAAAGCCCTGTTTACAATAATGTGTCTATTGTAATTTTTAAAAAGCAGCACTACCAGATCTCCTTGGTTCCCCATCCACCATGATTAGCTGACATTCGAATTAATATTTTACTGTATGCTGATGATGCAGTCATACTTTTCCAAACTAAATTGGGCCTCTCTTGTGCTCTTATGGAATTTGCCAACTATTGTAGAGCTGAGTACTTGGAAATTAATTGTGACAAAACCAAAGTTATAGAATTTTCAAATAGCAGAGTTAAGTTTAGATGGTCCGTCAATGGGAACCTGCTGGAACACAATGCAGCTCCATAAGAATTTGGGTGCGATATTTCACACTTCAGGCAAATAATCAGCATATCTCCAATATCAACAGTCTGCTCAAACCATTATCTGATTTTGTTATGTTACAAGTGGCCATTTTGTTTCATCTGTGGTTCAAGGCCAGATTGGTGCCACAACTACTCTATGCGGTACATATCTGGTTTATAGGTTGCAGTCCAGATACAGGGAGGATACAGGCTCAATTTCTCAGAAGCATACTGGGATTCCCTAAATGTGTAACAGCAGCAGTTAAGAGTCTTGAGATAGGAATATGTTCACCGGCACCTATTGCAAGGATAGCAACCATAAACTTCTGGCTGGCTATTTGCCACAGAGATCCATCCTCCAGTTTTGCCTCACTAGTACTGAAATATGCACTCGTGAGTAAAAGGAAGAAAGCCATAACCCAAGAAATTGACAGTTCAGGATTTTCACTCCAAGTTTACTGCGTGGACAATAGTCAAGCAAAGGTTTTGTGATGTAGATCACCAGAACATGTATGTCTTGGCATATAGATCTTTAAACTTGGAACTAATTTTTTAAGTACTCAAGGACAGCTTTTACACTAGCAAATTTAACGCTTTGCCATCAGCAATTCATGAGAGTCACTATAAGTACACCCCTTTAAATGATAGATTATGTCCTAGTGGCACAGGGGTGGTAGAGACTGTATCCCAATTGCTGCTCTCTTGCCGTTATTATAAGGCAGTTCGAGAGGATGTAATTGCTCTATTTTTGGCTATGGTTCTTCTTGCTGGGGAGAATGTACACATTATTGAAAAAGTGGCAATGTTTTTCAATGTAGCCATTGAGATAAATTCCCAGATGGTGAAATAATCCTGTTAATCAAATGTTAATAATTCTAATATTCTATGTTCTGTTTTTATGCTTGTATCCTAAAGGTTTGTTGACTGTATAACAGACTTGTTGTTGAAATGTCTTTGATGTTCTTTTATTTTACATTATTCCTTTCCCATTTTTCTCTGCCCAAAGACATTTGAAGCCAAAATTCATCATCTCGAAACAAGGACCAGCAAGAAACTACGTGAAGGAGCCACAGATCTGGAATACTTTGTGCGCTGTGAGCTTCGCTGCTCTGACCTGAGCACACTCCTCAGTTCTCTGAAAAGGGTTTCAGAAGATGTAAGGAGCACGAAAGAAGACAAGTGTAAGGAATTCGTCACTTAGTGATGGAAACACAGCTGAAAGGTGTTTCACACTTGATTTTTTTCCCCCTACATGGAGATAATCGCCATACAGGAAAAATGTCACAAGTAAAAGCTCCAATCCTGGCCTTTTCAGACGGGTGTTAGAGAAAATCGGAGTGGTGTGTCTTTTTCTAGGCCATTCAGGTTTGACCTAGATCGCATCCCTGATGAATATACAGTAGAGGTGAAAGAATAGGTTTAAGGGACTAGGTTTGATAGACAGAGTGGCGTGCCTTAGGAGTGTGCGTTTCAGAAATCATTATTTTCATTCTATTTTGTAATTTCAGAAAAGGGATTATGATTGTTTTCACAAAGTTTCACAACTGTTGACATGGTTTTGTAAATTCATTTTGGGAAAAAGTTTCATTTTCAGACAGGTCAGGTATCTGCCCCGTTGGTCCCAATGACAAGATAAACTTCGATTTCCAGAATGGCTTTTTAAAAACCAAATGGCATCAAGTTTTCAGGGAAAGTAGTAATCCCTCCCTCTCTGTTGAAGACCACCCATTGTTCAAGTGAATTGGACAGAAGGGCCCAATTTTATAGACTCCGAAAGAAGGTGTCCCCAGCCATTCTTGTCTGCATTGCTTCCCGTGGGGAAAGTACCATGTTTCCTCCGGGTCACTTCAATTGACTCCTTCACCCTGTTGCTCTCAAAATCAGAGGAAATCAAGTCCAACCCCTCTAATAATGACCCCCCAACCTCCAACCCCCAATTAACAAAGGACTCCCACTGCAGGGACCCCTCAGTAGGATGCCCTGAGCTACCTTCCCCTCCACTGACAAAAACTAGGGCCAGACCAGAGCTGCTGCTGCTGCTAGTCATAACAGTCTGGCTGGGCAGAGGGATTAAACCTAAAATTTCCAGAAGATGTAGGTAGCTGTATTGGTCTAAACCTAAATTCACAAACAAAATGATAGAAAATAGTGCAAACCTTTGGGTTCTGTACAGGGGTCGTTTTGTAGAAAAAGAGCTAGGGGAACTCATTAGCATAACTCATTAGCACATGCCACACCCCCTGACATCAGGGGCCCAGCAGTGGACCTGCAAGTGTGAGTGTGAGGAAGCCCCGCCAAGGCCCTCCCTGGCCCCAGGCAGGCAGGCAGGGGTGGGGAGAGGCGGCACATGTTGTCCAGCTATAAAAGAAGGTTAAAAATAACACATTTAAGGCAAGTTAACATCAAGAAATCATCCTGCAAGGAGTACACCAAGTGCTATGTAACCATTTGAGTAAAAATTTCTTAGCTATCTCAGATTGTAAATCTCATAATTCTTTCTTTAGGCAACCCATCCTTCAGCCTTCCCTGTAACTAAACTGAAAGCATTTACTTCCACAAATCACTGTGGCAAATACACAAATTCCAGTCTGTGTGGAGGACACAGGCTTGCTGCAGGGCTATTCAGTACTACTATTCACCCTCTCCTCCCAACTTTTAAAATTCTGTCTGGATAAATACACCAGCACAAGAGTAGTGAAATGCAGACCATTCAAAGAATACCACATGTCTTCTACTAAAAAAGAATAAAATTCACAAAAAGAGAAAACAGCTTAGGGAATCATACTTCTGCTTTTTACCAGTGTCTTCCTTTAAAAAAGAATCCATCAGGGATCATTACTGCATTGGTGTGGTAGAGCAAGAAAGTGAACAACCTCCATAGAAGGAAAAATATTGGAAAAGGAACCCAAACAAACAAACAAACAAACAAACAAACAAACAAACAGAAAAGTGTCATAAAACTATATGGGTCTAGGGAGGGGTCTTGTGTTACATCCCTAACTATCCCACAAAAAATTTAGTATAAATGATACATGAATAATATTCTGTTTAAAATCCCATAGATTCAATATATAACAATGGCTGAGTTCAGACTGGCAGTTTGAAGCGGGAAGGAGTCGTGGCAAAAAAGACCCGGAACAAACTGTTCCGGGTTTTCCTGGTCACACTGCACCAACTGATGCGGGAGGAGGCACAAGGGAGCATTCACACTGTTGGCCCAGAGGTGAAGCTATAAGTGGCTTTTTCTGGTAATCTGGTTATGTGCGCTCATGCGCATAAGCGCATCCCTACGGGATCACAACTTTTCGTGTTCACACTTCTGGGAAGCGGGATGGACACGGGATAATTGCGCTTTCCAGGGTTTGATACCATTTTCACCTGGTATCTTTTAAATTTGGAAGCGTTATGAGATGGGTTGAGTGCGGCTGGGGAATGCCGGACAAATGTGTGAACAGTCCCTTTAATTCGTTAGTGGAACGTTTCTGAAACGTGCCTTTATTGGGCCAAACTGCCAGTCTGAACTCGGCCATATTGGTATATATTCATCCATAATAGCAACTAATTATCCCAGGAACAAAACAGTTCACTTCTTTTGGAAAGTGCAACAGTCTCATAGTGGAAATCCAACTCTGATGGAAGGTATGAGATCTATGCGCAACTAATTGCAAGAGAAAGTGAAGTAAACTGATAGTCCACCATCAGTTTATTGAACCTTAACTTCCTATTTGGTTCAAATTGCTCTTGCATCTTCCCTCAAAGTTACACTTTGATTGCATAATTATTTCACTTTTCAAATATAGTTGGTGCAATAGTTTGTACCTGGGAAAATCCCCCAAATTTACTGTGTAACTTCCCATGGAAATTAGACCCTATTCATCAATTTTCATATGTTCAGAATATCTCCTTTTCTCGCAAGAGCTGAAAATGTCTTGAGGCCATATGCTGCCTTTCAATTTGGAGTAGGAATCTTAGTATGATTGAAAAGATGGGTATATCTTTTGAAAATTGAGGTTCCTTTCCATTTTTTTAGGAAATAGGTTCTTCAGTGTCCCAAAGACAAAATGCACTGCATCTAGCCTTCTCCTACTGTACAGTGTTGACTAGCAGGTCTCTGGAGAGGTAGCATATAAGTTTCCTACATCAATAAACAATTTTTTAAAATGTTCAGTTTAATGTTTTCTATTTTAAAAATAATAATTTTACTATTTAAATTTCATTTCTATTTCCAAAAGTGTTCTTAAAACCAACAATCCGTTTAAAAACTATATTCTCTCAATAATGCTTTCCACACTACTTGACTATCCATCATACCATTTTGCACCCCAGGGCATTTTTTTCTGGGGGAACATGCCGGAACAGAGTACCGGAACCTCTTGAAGAAAATTCTTCAAAAAATATTTAAAATGTCATGGGTTTTCAGTATGCAGATTGAAAACTTCTTTTCCCTTTTGAGAGTTCTGGCACTTCTTAAAAAAGAAAAGAAAAAAAGCCCTGGTGAACCTCATGTCCCAAGCAGAAATAAGAGAAGGCAGATCAGAGAGCAAATTATGGTGAAAGATAGCTAAACTGCTTTGTATAGATATTGGCCGTGTTCAGACAGGCAATTTGAAGCGCTAGGGAGTCGTGGCAAAGAAAAAACGGAACAGACCCGGAACGGCTTGGTTGTGGTATTCCCGTTCACACCACAGCGAATGAAGCAGGAGGATACCGTGGAGGAAGCGCAATGGAGCATTCACACTGTTGGGCCGCCCTGGCGGGCTGTTAGCAGCTGTTTCCATGCTTCATGCACCCATGCGCATGGGCACATGGGCACAGCAGCAAATAGGGCATGATCGCACAGGCCCTGACGGCGCCTGCCCACGGAAACAGCCGGTGTCTATTATCAATTACTGTGGGTTGTTCCCGCCTTAGCAGCGCTTGCGTTCACATTCAGGGAACTGGAATCAACCTGCTCTACACACGGTTTGCTACCACTTTCGCCTGGTATCTTTTAAACTCAGGAGAAAGCGGCACAAGACGGCTTGAGTATGGCTGGGGGACGCCTGACAGATGTGCCTGTGTGAACCCGCCCCTTTAACCCACTACTGAACTGCTACTGAAATGTTTGGCTGCCGGGCCAAACTGCCAGTCTGAACTCGGCCATTGTATTCACATTTATCTTGGAAAGCAAATATTTGTCAGAACTTCTTAGATTGGAACTTGTGAAGAACGGAGGGCTTAGCAGTTATGCACATGGTACCAGATGAATCTGGAGTGCACATGTCTCATTTCAAGGAATATTGTAGATACCACCCTGGAAGTTGAAGAAGTGAATATATATAAATTACAAAGTAATCTGTATTGACAAAGTAGTGTGGTTTTCGAATGCAGGCTCTTTCTTACTCTCAACTTATTTCCTCTCTCTCTCATTGGATTATAGTTCATTGGTTTCCAAGAAAAATCTCTGAGCTGGATAGATGTCACCATTTGGTTACTAAGTTCGACCCTGATCTGGATCTGGATCACCCAGTGAGTGAGGAACTCTGCTGTTCCAAATCCTCTCTGTCTAAGCATACTTCTTCTCTGGCCGCATTTTAGCAGTCTCCTTGTGGAATAGCTTGAATTACTGTTCTTTGCATCAGACTTGAGAAGAAGCTTTCATCGCTTACATTACAAAAAATATCCATCAGTCTGTAGACTTCCAGGAACATTACATGCTCACCAGCTTAAAGTCCCATAGATTCAGTTAAACTTGGGCTTCTCAAGAGGAGGTACAGAAGCATTGGGTTGAAGGGCATATTAGCTCTGGGTACCAATAATGGGAGAACCGTTTTTACAAAGGAGCATCAGCCACTGTACGTAAACTTGCTTCTCTGCCTTGAAGGACCTATAATGAGAATTGTACGTTGCCATTAGTAAAACTGCTCAGTGCAAAAATGTGCAGTAACATTCTTGCTCTGTTCTTTCCTCCAAGGGATTCTCTGACCAAGTATATCGGCAACGAAGGAAAATGATAGCAGAAATTGCCTTCCACTATAAGCAGTAAGACTTGCTGCGCTGCATAGCATCACCAGCTGAGAACTCCATGCATACACTTACTTATCTCTCTGCTCTCCATGTTTTGCCCTGTTGCTCTGTTGGTTCTTCCCTTTCACTCTGTTGCTTCATGTCTTCAATGCTCCATGGCTGCTAATTCCATAGAGCTACCGCAATTATTCATAAAGGGGGCAAATTCAACATATCGAAGAGCCCTTTTTAGTCACTACATTTTGGGTTGTCCTACCTTGTATACCAACCTGTGCGCACTCATCCAAAATGAATATGTTTGCCATCTTGTGTGAACAGGGCAACACACACATTTTTAAACATGGGTGTACACAAATGCATACCAGCAACAAACTTGTGATAGCACTTACAGGAGCTGGACAACTTCAACGTTGCTTTATTCACAGAAAACGGCAATTGTGAATATTGGGAAGATAATCTGCAGTGCGCTCTCCCAGCCAGTGAATGAGGAGTGCCCCAAATGTAACAGCTGAAAAGGGCTAAGTATCCAAGACATTAGTGCAGCACTCATTGAAGGTAGCCATTTCAATTATATTTAGGGCACCTTCTTTGCCCTTTGCACTGGATAGATTTGTGCACATGGCCATTACTGTTGAAACAGATATTGCAGAACTGAAATTTTATACATTCAGTCTAGAATGGAATAAATATCACAAAAGTCTTGCAAAATTGTTGGTTCCTCCTCTCAGAATCAAAGGAATCCAAATTTAATGGTAAAGCTTGAAACTGAAGGAATTAAAAATCTGAATTACCGTTGTATGGGTTTTTTTTTTTTGCCAAAAATTCATCTGGCAACATTTGCATTTGTGATTTAAAATTAAAATATGTTTTCTACATTCATTTTATTTTGTACCTTCTGATGAATGTTGCTCTCTTATTCACATTAGCCGTATGCACTATAACAACACCAAGGGTCACATTGATATGAGAAAGAGGGTTAACACCTTTTGAATTAACATGAATTGTATTATATTTGCTCACAGTGGTAGATACCAGACTACTGGTGGTGGACAACAGTTACCTAAGTAACATAATGCATGCTCCAAAGAACCACACATACAAGTCAAGGTTGAATATGCACACCTACATACAACTGGAGTCCCCCCCTTTTTTTTTAGACACAGCCCTCTGAGCTTAACTAATGGCCATTTCTGAACTTTCCCAGAGTTTTGTGGGCAGTTTGTTCAGAAACCTGGATTGTTCACTAGCCACAATAGCTTCACAATAAAGGAGAAGATCACTGCATGGCTTTTTGGACTGAGTCCTGAATCCTCCTGAGACCTTGGAAATGCTCAGCAACATGGGCCCAGATGCTCAGTAGCATGATTCAGCCATTTGGAATTAGATGAGCTTAGAGATTAAATTTGAAATCACAATATGTAGAGTCATGATTCTTACTATGCTTACTTTTAAAAGCAGCTAGTTCTGGAGGTGAGCCAAGCTTGTGTTGCAGAGAGTAGGAAGTATTTTATTTGTGGTTATCTTTAGCAGGTTTGATTTCCCACTCACCCGTTTTTTATTTCCAAGGACTGCTTTTGAGATGGCTTTTTCTGCCTTTTCAGACTGCCCCCTAGTGACTGTATGCCTTCTGTTTTACAAAGAAGCATAGCCTATTGAGTTTCCTCTTTTGTTAATACTAACATTATTCTTGGCCCCTCCAGTATTTCTGGCATTCTTTTCATGAGGGGAAAGGCCCATCCTTTTACTACTTTTTAACACTCAAGGTAGTAGAAGTGTTTTAAGAGTTGGTGATCCGCACCAACTGCTCTTTGCATAAACCATATAATCTGAATGATGTGGGCTGAGTCTTTTCCTTGCAATCCTGTTATTATTTATCATTCTGTACTTAATTCATGCAGCTATTAGTTTTTCAGATGTATTTCTGTAACTGGGAGGAATAGAAATTTGCTTTTTAAAGTAACCCACAAAAGTTGGTTTTGGCTTACAGAGCTATGTTGTAGTTGGTATTCATCTCTAGAACAGACAGGATATGACCAGCAATTTGAATTTAACACTCATCTGTTAGGTCTGGCCTAACCCTTCATTCTCTTAGAAGCTTTGCAGTTTTGAATTTTATATACCCTATTTATTTATCCTAGTTCTGTTCAATAGACACCTGATGGCTCCATACCTCTGTGTCATGTATGACAGGACAGTGATTGAGTTTAGTTACACATTACAAAGTTGCTCCGTTATACTTCCTACTCTCCTTGCTCTCTCCTTGTATTCCTCTCCTTGCTCTTTTTGCTTGTATTCTTTTCATAGAGGTGACCCAATTCCACGTGTGGAATACACCGCAGAAGAGACCGCTACCTGGTAAGTGTGCCTATATCGATCCAGTTCCCCTGAGCCAAAGCTGAAATTCAATATTTTTGTAGATCCTTGATCACATTTATTGGGCTCTGAGCACAAGGAGCCAGTTTGGTGTAGAGAGAGCCAGTTTGGTGTAGTGGTTAACTGCGCGGACTCTAATCTGGGAGAACTGGGTTTGACTCCCCACTCCTCCACTTGCACCTGGCTGGATAACCTTGGGCAAGCCATAGTTCCGATAAGAGCTGTTCTCGAAAAAGACCAGTTTCTGTCAGAGCTCTCTCAGTCCCACCTACCTCACAGGGTGTCTGTTGTGGGGAGGGGAAGGGAAAGGAGTTTGTAAGTCGCTCTAAGACACCTTTGGGTAGTGAAGGGCGGGGTATAAATCCAATCTCTTCTTCTTCTTACTCTGGATATTGCCAGTATATAGATTCAGGAAGGAATTTCCCTCCAGAATGGATTAGGTTTTCTTTAAAACCATCCCCTTAAGTCAGGGTCACAGCAATGTAACTGCAGTGTTCCCTGCACTAATTCCAGGGGACATAATACAGATACTTTCCAACTGGAATTAAGTAAAGAAATGATAATCATTAAAATTAAAAAAGATATAATAGCATTACAGTAAATCTCGATCATTTAATGTGTGGCTTTTTTCCTTCTCACTGTAAAATTAGTGCTTGGGAAGGGGAAAAAAGCAATATTTTATTTGCCTATTGCAGGGAAAAAAACTTGCCAGCATTAGCAGTAGTATCTTCTAGGGATAGGCATGAACCAAACCACAAAGCACAATTCAATATAAATTTTGTCCTGTTCATGGTTCTCAAAGTTCATGGCAGGGCACCTGGCACAAACTTTCCATGAACTTTGACATAGTTAGTGGAGGTTCGTGCTAGTTCGTGAGCAAATACATTCCCAGAGAGACTGTCTCTGCTCAATCAAAAAATTTACAAAATTTCAAAGCAATAACTTGGAGGGCTTGTAGAGGAGCATCCAGAGGAGGTCTGCTGTGACTTTGATGTCTCTAGCTTGCACAGGATCCATTCTATACACTCCTGAACATCCAGAACCTGCGTCTGTCAAAATGACAGCTGACAGGTGGTCATTTTGACATGTGCCGGTTCAGGTGGTTCAGGAGAGTATAGAACAGATCCTGTGCAAGGTAGAGACAACAAACATGGTGGGAATCTCTGTTCAACTGTCCTCTACCTGCCTTCCAAGTTTGGTGAGGACTGGATTAAGAGGGACTGAGTTACAGCTTCTCAAAGAAGGTGCCCCCATGAAATTCCTGAGGGCAACTTCTTTGGGGAGCTGTAATTCAGACCCCATAAATCCAATATTCACCAAACTTGGAGGGCAGGTAGAAGACAGTCATCTGAAGATCCCGTGTGAGCTTTCTGTTTCCAGCATACTGGGGGGGGGCATTCTACTACGCCATGAACCTCACAAACTGAACAAGTTCATAAGGTGGCTAAAAAATTGTGACAGTCCGTGTTTCACAAATGGTGCAGGTCATGAAGCATGAAATGAACCACATTTCCCCGGTTTGTGTCCATCCTTAGTCTCTATCTCTGGAGCTATTTGTTCTACAAACAAATTTCTTCATTGTGATTGGATTTTTGCTCATGCATTGCTAGCAAGGGTATGGATGGTCTAGTTTGTGGTCAACGACATGGATTAGATCAGTTTGGGTTGGTTCCAGCCCTGTAATTCTGTAGTCCGCAAAACTCTGCTTACATCCTGCTACTGAACCAGTATTATCTCATTGAGATCTTTGCCTGACAAAGGCTCAGGTCACCTTTAAAGTCAGATTCCCTCCACTTACCTCTCATTTCTTATGCTGATACTGGAACTTGTGTGGGCATCTTGGTCATCTACTTGACTAAGAACAATGTAGATAATTCTCTTTTACTACTGGGATAGGACGAGGAGCACTTCCATTTGTCCTGTATCATGCTTATTACCTACATGGTATACATATTTCATCCTAGAGGTGATTCTTTCTAGATATAAGAACTTTCCACTGAATGTTGTGGCTCTCTGCATTTAATGCCAATGAAAGTCGTATGGTAAAACAATAAGAAATGGATTGGAGTTGGTTGACATGGATTTGCAGAGCTTGGTTGGAAATTATGATACTTCTCCATGATCTTTATCGTTCTAAAGGAAGGAGGTGTACAGTACACTGAAGAGTCTGTATCCTACTCATGCCTGTAAAGAACACCTGGATGCCTTCCATTTACTGGAGAGATACAGTAGTTACAGTGAAAATAACATCCCTCAACTGGAAGATGTCTCCCAATTCCTAAAAGGTGAGTTTTTCAAGCTAGAAACATTTATGGGCCTGTTACTTACAGTGCTGCACTGGCTGCCAATAGCATACCAAATTCGCTTAGATTGGTGGTACTTACCTTTAAAACCCTATATGGCTAGGGTCCAACATACCTGAGGGACCGCCTTTCCCCAGAGAGCACTACGGTTGGGGGCGCAACACCGATTGGTTATTCCAGGCCCCAGGGAGGCCAGGCTTGCGGCTACCAGAGCCAGGCCTTCTCAGTGGCGGCTCCTTACTGGTGGAATGAGCTCCTGGAGGAGATCAGGGCCCTGCAGGATCTTGTGCAGTTCCGCAGGGCCTGCAAGACAGAGCTCTTCCACCAGACCTTCAATTAGGAGCCGCCCACATTACCATCAACGACCACTATTAATATCTGTGGTGGAGGCTGGCTGCAGTGAGATCGAGCCAAACCACCTAGGAGCCTGTAATTGCCTGAGCCCGCATTACATGTTACGCCATCTTGGTTAATAATCATTGAGTGCACTTTAATCGGCAATTGTTGATTGTTTTAAATGTTTTAACAGTCTTAAATGTTTTAAGCTTTAAATGTTTTGACTGTATATGAACTTTGGTACACTGTGCCAGGCACTGTGAGCCGCCCTGAGCCCGCTCGCGGGGAGGGCGGGTTATAAATACAACAAACAAATAAATAAAAATAAATAAATTGTACAGCTTCATGAAATGTAGCTTGCATGATGCAGACAATTACAAATGGTGGTTTGGGTGATTTCAGAGAGAACTGGGTTCCAACTCCGACCTGTGGCTGGACTGCTATCTGCTCGTGACTTCCTAGCCAGTTTGGCCTTCAGGGTATTCCAGTGCACACAGTATATCCGTCATTCATCCTCTCCCATGCACTCCCCAGAGCCGTGAGTACTACCGCACAAAGTCACTGTGCTCATCTTGCTATGGCATATCATTGAGCATCAGGTAGTTAGTCCTCTGGCTTGCTGTTCTAAATACAACTGCTGATCAGTTCTCTTTCTCTCCAATGCAAGGGATTGCTGCCATGAACTTCTGGGACATGTTCCAATGCTGGCAGACAAAACGTTTGCACAGTTCTCCCAGGTGAGCCACCTGTGAAACGTCTTATACCAAAAGCATCTCAAACCTTTAAAGAGAAAATTGAGTTTGAAGTGTTAAGAGTAAGAAACTGGATATGTATGCAAAGAACGTACCGTTTCTGATGTTTCCTAATGGTACGTATTTGGAAATAAGTTATCCAGACCTGCAAACATGAATGCTGAAGGGAGACAGAAAGGTAGGAGCTCTCATTTTATATGTTATAAAATGATGTATAGGTGGTACATGACTTAGATTTATATGCACTGATTTGGTTATACAAATTATTGCTCATCTTGCAACTTCCACAAGCAGGGATTGATGCATCTCCAGAATACCCCATTTGTAAAGCCTCCCACTACGTCATCTGTGAGAAAGGTTTTTTGATACTGTATTGCTTATGTGAGTAGCTTTAAACTAGAACACCTAGTTTTCACTTGGGGCCAAACTAACCCCCACCTCCAATTATGTGTGGAATAGATATAGTGCTGATTCTCCAGTATGGAACAAAGGTAACTGAAAATACTCTAAACAAACAAATAAATGAGACCTGAGTAACCTCAGCAAAAGGTTAAAATGCTTGTTGAAACCCTTTACCTTGTTGCTTCCGGCCACTTGGTACCCAACAATAGTGCTACAAACTTTCAAGAACAATGATAAGGGTCGAATCTTCATTTGTCTTTCCTACCAGTGTGGCTCAAAAATGATGGTCACAGTCACAGAACAGACCGCAAAAAGAAGAAAGAAACTGTGAGGTAACTGCGCCAGATAATATTTCAATAATAATCACAAAATTGTACAAACATGTGTGCAGAAAATTATATAAATATACAAGACAATAGAAATTGATGTTTTGACGATGGTCTCTGGAATGCTCTATCGCTTCCGATACTATTCAATATAGGCAATATACAAGCACCTTGCCCCAGGAACATTCTGTCAGAGAAATTCTTGCAATTAAGTCATGATACATCGGTGAATATTATGGATTTTTTGATACCTACTAGTTGAAAAGACAGACCAAGAGTCGCTGTTTTCATTCACTCTCGGAAGAAGAATAGTATCGAAACGATAGAGCATTCCAGAGACCATCGTCAACACATCAATTTTTATTGTCTTGTATATTTATATAATTTTCTGCACACATTTTTGTACAATTTTGTGATTATTATTGAAATATTATCTAGCGCAGTTACCTCACAGTTTCTTTCTTCTTTTTGCGGTCTTTCCTACCAGTGTCCCAGCCTTCTGACTCCATCTTCAACAAAACTGTCTACATTTGTTTTCGGTTTCACACTTCAACGGTTTCACACTTCAACTGTGCTAGTATAATTTTGCCCGTCTGCATATGTTTATCGCCCTCTCATGGCGGCTCCCCTGTCATTGCGCCTCCGCACCGCTTTAAATGAATCTTCTCCAAGCAACTTTCAAACGAGCATAGAGAAAGACGGCGTCACAGCCGCACGAAACTGCTTTTAAAATGCAAATGCAGATTCGACCTGTGTTGAAGTATGATTTAGAGCAACATTCCCACCAGTGACTGAGTTAGTGCAATGACTGTTTTCAAGGCTTTTTATTTGTTGGGATTTTGCAAAACTTTGTATAAATGGGAACAGCAAGAGCAGTGGAATAAAGTGAGAGGCAATGGCGGTTTGGGAGAATGGAACAAGACTGTTGTGCATAGGTAATTTTAATGCTCTGACCTGGATAGTCCAAGCTAGCCTGATCTTGTCAGACTTCAGAAGCTAAGCAGGGGTCGACCCTGGTTAGTTTTTGGATAAGAGATCATGGGTGATTTCCCACAAGCGCTGCTCCATGCTCACTCTTCTCTTTGGCCCGATGGTACGTGTCAATTTCACACAAGCTGCTGCGCAGCCGCATTTTGCCCCGCAGCTTCGTGCAATTTTCCCCGCGTCGACTCAATCCTGGTTTTTTGAGGACTGAGTAGACGCGGGGAAAATCACACGAAGCTGTGGGGCAAAATGCGGCCGCGCAGCAGCTTGTGTGAAATTGACACGTACCATCGGGGCAAAAGGGAGGAGTGAGCGCGGAGCAGCGCTAGTGGGAAATCACCCCATGACTATCCAGAGGCAGGCACTGGCAAACCACCTCTGAACATCCCTTGCTTTGAATAGCCCATGGGTTCACCATAGGTAACCTGTGGCACTTTCCACCACCACAGTATTAAGCCCTAGTTTGATGCGCATTGCAATGAGAACCTGTCACTCAAATGCTTACCCAAAAAAAATCATTAACCCCACCCCCTTAAATCAATGTCACTGGTCATCGTCAGCAAATGCTCGGTATTTATATTTAAGCCCTTTGTGTGTCAATCCCGTTATCTCTTGGTCTTGATTAGTTTGATGCACATTGCAATGAGAACCTGTCACTCAAATGTTTACCAAAAGAATCTGTCGACCAGTGTCTTTCAGCGTCCGTAAACTTTTTGGAGACGTAAGCTAAAGGGCGAAGTTTGTTGTCATCCCCCAGCTGCAAAATGGCTGCCCCCATAGCCACATCAGACGCATCAGTTTGCACAATATATTTTTTAGTTTCATCGGGGTGAGCCAGGACAGGTTCAGAAGTGAACATAGATTTTAGACGTCCAAAAGCATCCGCACATTCAGAGGACCACTTTAAAGGTGCCCCTGGCTTGGTGGCATCAAACCCCTTGCCTTTGGTTTTCAGCAAATCAGTAAGTGGCAAAGCAATCTGAGCAAATCCTTTGATTAAAAAAAACCTTAAATCAATGTCACTGGTAAAAAGCAGAATCAAATCACTTTAGAGAACAAGCCTTAAAATAGATGTCTGAAAAAGAAGTTTGAAGAATAGAGTGCCTGGTCATTCTAATCTGAGGGGACAAACCAAAACACCACCCTGAAGTAGTCGTCTCCTGCTTGGCACTGCTGTCTCGGAATGCAGCAGAACACAGTTGTTTCTTTTTGCCGTGCTTGCTCGGCTTCTGAAATAACAAGTTGTATGCTTAATAAGTATGCTGTTGGTCCACGTTTTGCTGCTCTGCTCCATGTAAAGTCTCCTGTCTCCACCAAGGTGTGGTAACAAGCCACAGTCTTCAAGATACTTTTAGCCATTTACAGTTCCACAGAACAACTAAGTTACAATGACATTTGATGGCACAGGAGGAAGTCTTTTGAGGGCTTACAGGGAAAGAAAAATCCCACTTTTCTTCTGCTCCTAGGACATTGGCCTCGCGTCCTTGGGAGCAACAGATGAGGAGATTGAAAAACTCGCCACAGTAAGGACCTATTTATATTTCAAATGTCTTCATGAAATGCATTTTGAATAGGGCTTCCAGCTTTGGGTTGGGAAGTACCAGAACATTTGTGGGTAGAGCCTGGGAAGGGTTGAGTTTGGGATGGGTAAGGACCTCAGGAGCTGTGGTGGCTCAAGTCGTTAAGATGCTGAACTGCAGGCTGTGGAAGGTCAGTAGTTCAGCAGTTCGAGACCCGAGTGCCGCATGACGGAGTGAGCTCCCATCTCTAGTTCCAGCTCCTGCCAACCTAGCAGTTCGAAAGCGAGAAATTGCAAGTAGATAAATAGGTACCACTTCAGTGGGAAGGTAACAGCATTCCGTGCGCCTTGGTGCTTAGTCATGCCGGCCACATGACCATGGAAACGTCTTCGGACAGCGCTGGTTCTTCGGCTTTGAAACAGAGATGAGCACCGCAACCCTAGAGTCGGATTCGACTGGCTTTCGAGCAAGGAAACCTTTACCTTTAAGGACCTCAGCAGGATATAATGCCATAGAGTCTACCCCCAAAGTAGCCATTTCCTTCAGGGGAAGGGATATCTGTAGTTTAGAGATCTGTTATAATTCCAGCAGATCTCCACTCTCCACCAGGAAGGGATATTAGTATAGCAGAAAATGGCATAAAGAGATAAGTGACGTCACCCACACCTGACAAGATCTGATACCAAAGAAGAACAAGCACGCAGGCCTGAGGCCTGTTTTGATAACAGATTCACCATCTCTTGATGTCTTAGAAAGGGACAGACTATCTCCCCACCTCCCCGAAGTTCTCTAGTTTAGTTGTCGATGAAGTCCTTCTCCTTGTTTTGCATGACCTTAACAGCACCGGCATGTCTCTTGGTTACCTGACATATTGGGGTGTGTTTGTGTGTGTCGTTTTCCCCCCTTCCCAGCTTTACTGGTTCACGGTGGAGTTTGGTCTCTGCAAACAGAACGGAATCATCAAAGCGTACGGAGCTGGGCTTCTCTCTTCCTATGGGGAGCTAATAGTAAGTCCTAAACTATTCCACTAGCCTATTCTCCACACTAAATTAAGTCATATGGGCTGCCTCTTTTATTTATTTATTTATAATTTCAATGTATAGCCCTTCCTCCCCACAACGCGGGCTCAGGGCGGTTCACCGATAGGCACGAGCCAACACATAAAAACAAGTTAAAACCATGTAAGACCGTTACTACAATGTTACAACCTATTAGGTGCTCTAGATGTTCCAGAATAATCTTCCTTTTTTTTAAAAAATAATTTTTTATTGTATCCCAATATTGTTATTACATTACAGTTTAGTTCCAAATTTTGATACTTCTTTTCCCCTATTTTATCCCTCCCCCCCCTAAGGTGGCCACCATCATGTTATTCAGATTACGTTTTCAACCACGAGCACATTCTTTCCAACTTTTCAAATATACCCCTGTTGGCTTCCCCTTTATAAACCCATTTAAAGTATACCGACCATTTCTTTTTTATCTCCTTCATTTTTACAGTCCATATCTTATCTTGCTCTAAACATTCCAATATGTCCGATTGTATATATTTGTATAAATATTCGTTCCATTTTTCTAAAGTCAATTTTGAGTTCTCTTTCCAACCAAATGCAATCACTGCATGCGCTGCTAATAACATTACTTTGATGAACAGAGAAAAGGTTATATAATGTAAGAATGTGTACTTTAAAAAAAATCCTTGTCTTCCCAAGCTCCCTCTCCCCATTTTGAGTTGATTTTTTTCTTAAAAAGAGCTTTTAACTAAGCTCTATTTAAGAAAGAAATAGTACTGCACATAGTTTGTGTGTGTCGTCTCAGAAACACAAATGAAAGAAACCCCCAAACCCCAGAAGTACCCTCCTTTCAGCCATGTCGATACATCATATCATTAAATAACGCCAGATACAGTCTACATCACTCAGTTCTCATCTTGCTTTCACTGCTCTGGTCTAGGACAGATTCTTTTTTTTTTCTTTTTTTTGCGATGGTTTTTTTTTAAAATTTATTGTGGATTTAAACACTATGGATTTAAACAATAACAACAGTGTTCACAATTAACTGGTAAACAACAACTTACAACTTACAAATTCGACCAACTACTAACATGTGTTAAAAGTGTAATACTTAAAATACAAGCATTATTGGCAACAGATGGAATATGCTAGACATAACAAGATATTCATATTAGTAATTACTTCACCATTTTTATAATACCCAGTCACGTCGGATATAATTGTAGTATTGAAATTGTTGAGATTTGTTAATTCTGTCCAGGACGTAGTCTAGTTTTTCAAGGATTGGATTCCATCTGCCAAAAAAAGTATCATACTCGTGAGAGGGGTTGTTATAATTTAGCTTATCTGTGATTTTATCCATCAATAGATGCCTTTCGTTTTGCTTTATACAGCATTCTTTGTCAGATGAACCAGAGCTGCGGGACTTTGACCCTGATGCAACCGCTGTGCAGCCCTATCAAGATCAGACCTACCAACCTGTTTATTTTGTATCAGAGAGCTTCAGTGATGCCAAAACTAAACTCAGGTAAGAGATACTTGCTAGGAAATTGACATGTAAATGAGCACATACACGTGGTGGTTACCTCTATATCGCATTGATTTTGTAATAGATCAGTTATACGAAATGTTTTTACCTTAAATACACACCTTTCAAACTATTAAACAGGGTTGAGGGTAGGCCCCCCCTTCCCTACGGGGGTAGAGAATCATTTAGGATGGTCCATGTCTGGAGGCTGATGGGTCTGATATGATGTCTCCTAAAAGGGATTCACAAGTATATAGGGATTTTATGTTTAGATGTAATGTTTTGTCATGCTTCTTTGCCATTAACATTCCAGATCTAGGCATTGGCATGAACCAGGAAAATGTGGTTCGTGAGGGTTTGTGGTGTGCCTGGTTTATGAACCACAAACTGTCATGAACTTTAAGAGCTAAACAAATTGGTTCAGTTTGTGGAGTTCATGATGCAGTAGAATGCCCCACAGCATGCTAGGGACACCAAACTCACAGGGATTGCTGGCTGACTTTCCTCTACCTGCCCTCCATGTTTGGTGAGAATTTATGAGGTCCAAGGTATGCCCCCCCCAAAGAAGTTTCCCTATGCTCCATTGTTCCCAATGGAGGGGAAATAAACAGCAAAAATAGCAAGGGCAATAGAAGCCCAGCAGAACAGAATCAAAGGGAGCGGTGGCACAGGTGGTTAAACGCCTGCTAGTAACATCTACGAACAGCTGCTACAGCTGTTCGAAACCCGCCGCGGCCAGAGTGAGCACCTGGCCCCAGTCCCAGCTCCCGCTAACCCAGCGGTTCGAAAACAGGAATTAACATCAAAAACTGCGAGTAGATAAATTAGGTACCTACCTTAGATGGTAGGGGGCACCCTCCCCTGTCAAGGGGGTTCATGGAGTATCGGTGGTGAGCAGTGAACAGCAGAATGGTGAGCGGCAAAGATGGCGACTGAGTGCAAAATCTACGGTGGACCAGATGTGGCGGAAGGCGGAGCCAGGAGACGCGAGTCCACTGACATTGCAAAGCGCAGAGTCACAAAACCAAGCAGGGTGTGTGTGGAATTTTTCATGCTCTGTGCAAGAAAATGAGAAGTGAACACAAAGGAACACTGGCAGGGGGGGGGTAAACATTTTGTTTGACTAGAGACAGTATCTGAAGTGTATTCATTCATGAACCTCCACAAAACTCCACAAACTTCTTGAAAGTTCATGGAAAGTTTGTGCTGGTTGGCCTGCCACAGACTTCACTTTTTGAACCATGAACTGGCCAAAATTCAGCACTAACTGTAGTTCATGAAACGTTCGTGCCTATCCGGATCTGCTCCAGCTTAATTGCCAGTTTACCAGTCGACGATGAAATAGTGGTGCATGCAGTTCCATCTGGTCTTAATTTTAGTTAGGTCTTCCTTAGGCATGTCAGCAAGGTTTGGGGTGCTGTGATCTTTTTGGAAGGGCATGTGCCTAGAGAGGATTAGTTCTAGTTTTGGTAGGTTTCAGCTCTTTTTGTCAGACAACATTAAGAATGATTAAGAATGTGGGAGTTCTGTCAGATCCCACACTGTTATTAGAGAAGCAGCTAAGAATGCATTTGTCTGGTTGTGTTGAGCCCCAGAGCTTTACCCCTATTTGGAAATGATTGATCCAGCCACAAAAATTCCATGCTACAATGACCTCAAGGTTGAATTGTTACTTGCTCTACATGAGGCCACCCTTGAAGATGACTCAGAAAATACAATTGGCACGCTATATAGCAGCCTGTGAATTATCAGGGTCCCAATGTAGGGAGCAGAATACTTCCATGTTACCATCTCTAAACAAACAAACATGCCCCCTCGCAGGCAAGCACTAAAATCAAGGTTTCGTTGTCCCAGAAATGGGACACCCGAGCTCCACCCAGCAAGCCGGCCACTCACTGAGCACCTCAGAAGGCCCACAGACTACACCCCCGTGCACTCAATGGGGCTCCTGCAGGCGCCAAAGCCACAGCGAGGGAGAGCCAAGAGGAGTCCCCAGCCAGCAGGGAGGCTCCCAGAAGCCACAGCCATACCCCCCCGCCAGCACCAACAGTGAATGGTGCAAGGCCCAACATGCTGGCACAGCCCCATAGGGAGTTGGCAGCACAGGGTCCAGGCCAGGTGGCGAGAGTCCACCCCCCTCATCCAAAGCCACCTCCCAGGCTCCCAATGCCTGGTGGGCCCTGGGGTCAACAGCAGAGGAGCGGGAGAACCGGGTACAAGGATGCCGCCCTGGAGTTCTGGATGGCCTCGCCGGCTAAATGAGAAGACGGGGCGATGAGCAGAGAGGATGGCTCCAGAAAGGTGGGGGCAGGAATGGGGAACAGCAGGGCTCTTCACACGCCCCTAATGTATCCAATCCTCCAAGAGCTTACAGAGCTCTTCTTACAGGAGCTACTGTAAGCTTTTGGAGGATTGGATACATTAGGGGTGTGTCGCTTAATATGCAAAGGAGTTCCTGCTACAAAAAGATCTATCTATCTATCTATCTATCTATCTATCTATCTATCTATCTATCTATCTATCTATCTATCTATCTATCATCTATCTATCTATCTATCATCTATCTATCTATCTATCATCTATCTATCTATCTCTATCTATCTATCTCTATCTATCTATCTCTATCTATCTCTATCTATCTATCTATCTATCTATCTGTCTATCATCTATCTATCATCTATCTATCTCT